GAGACTCTCATTAGATATATGATTTGCAAATATTCTCTCCTATTCTCAGATGGTCTTTTAACTTTCTTGATAGTGTCCTTAGAAGTATAAGTTTCAAATTTGGATGCTATCCAATTTATTTTTTTGCTTGGGTTTTACTTTCACGTCTAAGAAAGCATTGCCTGATTCATGCTCATGAAGATTCATGCCTATGTCCTATTCTGAGAATTTTATAGGTTAGCTCTTGCATTTAGATCTTTGATCCACTTTGAGTTAATTTTTTATAGGGTATGAGATATGGATATAAATTCATTTATTTGCATGTGACAATCCAGTTGTTCCATTTGATGAAGAGACTCTTTTCTCGTTGAATTGTCTTGGCACACTGGTTGATAATCAATTGACCATAAATATGAGGATTATTTCTGGACTTTCAATTCTATTCCATTAGTCTACATGTCTGTCCTTATGCTAGTACTACACAATGTTGAATATTATAGTTTTGTAGTAAGTTTCGAAATTGGGAAGCATAAATCTTTCAACTTTGTTCTTTTCTAAGATTGTTTTGGCCAGTCTGATTCTCTTGATTTCCATATAAATATAAGCCAATAATGTCCATATTGTTTTCAGATGAATAAGCGTGTCAAGTTCTTCTAGAAAGGTAACTGGGTATTTGACAGGCATTGCTTTAAATCTGCAGTTCGATTTGGGAGTATTGCCAGCTTAACGATACTAAATCTCCCAATCCATGGCATGGGGTGTCCTTTTATTTATTGAGTACTTTAATTCCTTTCAATGATATTTTGTGGTTTTCAGTGTAGAAGTATTGCATTTATTGTGTTAAATTTATGCCCAAGTATTTTATTATTTTTGATGTTATTGTTAATGGAATTATTTTTCTTAATAAATTTTTGGATTGTTTATCACTAGTGTATAGAAATAAAATTAATTCTGCATATTGATTTTGTATTTTGCAACCTTGCTACGGACTTTCCTTTGTTCTAATAATTTTTTTTGTGGATTCCTCAGAATTTTCTATGTGTAAGGTCATCTCAACTGCAAGTAGAAATAGATTTACTTTTCCTTCCTAATCTGGATAACTTTTTTTTTTTTCTTAACTAAATACCCTGGAAAAAACTTCCAGTACAATGTGGAGCAGAAATGGGGAAGGCAGACATCCTTGGCTGCTTCTCTGTAATTGCAATTGAGACCCCTGTTTATTAAACTGGGCAGAGAGCAGAGTTCAAATTCACATTGCTCTGATATTTGAAATGGAGCATGAATATTCCTTGTTTCAATCCTTCCACTTTAAAACAGCAAAAAAAATATTTATTAACTTTCTATTTTGGTATTGGGAAGATAAATTAGAATTTTATGATCCCCTTAAAGATTAAATATTATGTAAATTCATAGGACAAAATTTTGGGGCATGAGTAGGGAAATTTGTAAGTGTAAGATGAAACCATTTTTCCTTCTTAGACATTAGAATTATTAATAAATCATGATCTTTTTTTTTTTTTTTAAATAAGACAGGCTGTGGTCCAGGTGACTCTCTTGGAAAACACACAGTATGTTTGCCTGCCCTGGGGGGGACCTTGAATAACTTCCACACACCTATTGGGTTGAGCCCTTTCCTTTAGGAATCCTGCTCACTTGCTCTTTTTGTATGTTGTCTTCATAAATAAATTAGTAACCCAATTAATATAAAAGTAGTTTGGAACAGGATTTCCCCCTTGGGGTTAGGAATCCTGCTCACTTGCTCCTTTTGTATGTTGTCTTCATAAATAAATTAGTCTCCCAATTAATATAAAAGTAGCTTGGAACAGGATTTCCCCCTTGCGCCAATAATTTCTTACCTCTGAAAAATGAGGAAGAATGGGTCAGAGCACTCTCTCTTTTTTTGCTGGAAATGTTGCCTGGGTATGCTGCATGAGTGGCTGTGACTGCTGTGACGCTGTGAGTGCCTCTGCCCTTGAAGGCACAAAGCCTCTTCCTGCCCAGGCCCCTCAGATGAAGGGAGGGGCTGCTGCCCTGTGGCTACACTTGCAGGCAGGTCATGGCATTTGATTCCTAGAAAAGGGTTTATTGTAGTCCTTTCGGGCTACTGTAAGAGAATACCAAAGATGGAGTGGCGTATAACAATAGACATTTTTTTTCCTCACAGTTCTAGGGGCTGGCAAGCCCTCAAGATCAAGGTGCCGGCAAATTCAGTACCTGGTGAGGAGCTGCTTCCTGGTTCATAGATGGTCTTTTTTTCTGTGATCTCAGATGGCAGAAGTAGGGAGGAAACTCTCTGGGGTCCCTATTCACTAGGGCTCTAACCCTCATGATGTAATCAGCTCCCTAAGGTCCCACTTCCTCACACCAATGGGGTTTAGATTTTAACATACAAGTTCTGGGGGGCAGGGGGACAGGAGCATTCAGTCCTTGCTGAGGCGGGCTAAGTCTGACAGCCTCTAAAACAGCTATTATTTGTAGTAACTCCCTATTATGGAGGTTTGGGATGAGAGTTTTTTTCTGCTATCTCCTTTGGTCCTCACAGGACCAAACAATAACGACACAAATTAGAAAATAAAAGCAACATAAATGATACCATTTCATAGTCTGACCCCCTATTTTAACTGCAACATGCTTGTTTTATTTATTCTTGTCCCATACTATCGACTCCCCTTACTGCTGACATCTCAGGTTCTTATCATTGAAGACTGTTCATCTTAGAAATACCATCGAAGTTACTTCCATCATTCCTCGGTACCGTCATGTGTATTTTGACCTTGACACTTCAAATCCACGACGAAAACCTTGGTGCCTGGATAACTATTGAAATGTCTCAGCTGGTGTAACTGCCCCCATACTTTCCACTTTTTGGTCCATTTGGCACACTATGCATCAGGAGCTGTCACCCTAGGGTTGGGGAAGCAGCCACTGTTACAATCTTGGCCCGGCAGGCTTAGGTAAGGGCTAATAGAGTCTTGGTTAAATAACCACCCCACTCTATCCTTCCACTCTCTTGTTTCCTGCTGCCATCTCCCACTGGCTACAGCCAACTCCAGGGCCTGCAGGGGGAGGCTGGATGGTGCAGTCCTTTCATCCGTACAGGTCAGTTACTGCAGAGGCGGGCAGAGCTGGCAGGAGCAACTGGAGAGTAACCAGCATGACAGCAGCCCGATTTTCCTCCCTCTCTTTCTCCCAGAGGTAATCTGGCCACACAGAATTTCTCATTTTCCCTTAATTCTGACAGACTCACTCTTAATCCTTGCCTTTGCATGTACTGTTTATTTTGTTTGTTTGTTTGTTTGTTTTCCTGGCAGGAATTCTCTTACTCCAGCAGCCCCCAACGTTTTTGGCACCAGGTACCAGTGCTCCTATGAGAATCTAAGGCAGATGATCTGAGGCGGAGCTGAGGCGGTGATGCTAGCTGTGAAGCGGCTGCAAATGCTGATGAAGCTTCTCGCCCTGCCTTTCTCACTTCCTGCTGCGCTCAGGTTTCTAACAAGCCAGGACTGGTACCACTCTGTGGTCGAGAATTGGGAACCCCTGCCTTACGCCATTTCTTTGCCTATCACATAAACTACTTATCTTTCAAGATCCACTCAAAAATTACCACTCTCACTTATACACACGCAGATGCAGCGAAGTCCTAAGACTGTTACAAAGAAAATTAAGGTCAGGTCCTTTAACACTCCACTCACTAGCTGTTGTGACCTTGGGCGAGGCACTTTGATTTTAAGTTTTCTTTCTTTCTTTCTTTTCTTTCTTTCTTTCTTTCTTTCTTTCTTTCTTTCTTTCTTTCTTTCTTTCTTTCTTTCTTTCTTTCTTTCTTTCTTTCTTTCTTTCTTTCTTTCTTTCTTTCTTTCTTTCTTTCTTTCTTTCTTTCTTTCTTTCTTTCTTTCTTTCTTTCTTTCTTTCTTTCTTTCTTTCTTTCTTTCTTTCTTTCTTTCTTTCTTTCTTTCTTTCTTTCTTTCTTTCTTTCTTTCTTTCTTTCTTTCTTTCTTTCTTTCTTTCTTTCTTTCTTTCTTTCTTTCTTTCTTTCTTTCTTTCTTTCTTTCTTTCTTTCTTTCTTTCTTTCTTTCTTTCTTTCTTTCTTTCTTTCTTTCTTTCTTTCTTTCTTTCTTTCTTTCTTTCTTTCTTTCTTTCTTTCTTTCTTTCTTTCTTTCTTTCTTTCTTTCTTTCTTTCTTTCTTTCTTTCTTTCTTTCTTTCTTTCTTTCTTTCTTTCTTTCTTTCTTTCTTTTTTTTTTGCAAAACTGGAATGGAAATAGCTTTTAACACTCCACTCACTAGCTGTTGTGACCTTGGGTGAGGCACTTTGATTTTAAGTTCTTTTTTTTGTTTTGCAAAACTGGAATGGGAATAGCCAGCTGCCTTGACATTCTATTCTCAAGGAGATTGAAAAGATCAGTGAGATGAAAAGTTCCCTAAAACGCAAAGCATTTTACACATTGAATTTTGTCGTTGTTCCTCTTCCATTGCTTAGAATTTTTCCCAATTTGTTGAGATCGATCATAGTACACAAGTCAACTTTGGTACAATCAAATACTAATTCAAACCCTTACCTCTCCCGCCTCCCTTCTATTCTTTCTACAGCCCCTTCTATCTCTTCTGTTTACTTATTCCTCACCCCACCCCTTCATCTGTGGCTTGTTTATGCTGAACTCAGGCATCCAAGACACTGCTCGACTTCGCTGGTACATTTCACAAGGAGGGTAAATCATTTAGTAACAGGGAGTTGGGGGAATCCAAACAACACAAAAGTCAGCGTTCTAAATTGTGACATTCCAGGACCTGAGAATGAGGACTGGGGCGGGGTGGGGTCGGTCACGGGGCTCGAGGACGCAGGGATAGCGGGCTTCCGCCCAGGCCTCTACCACCCACGCGCGAGCCCGCGCTCAGACGCGGGAACCCCGGGCGTCCGGCGCGGGGCGGGGACGGAATTCCGGGAAGGGAGCACCGCGGCCTCCAGACTACCACTCCCGGCGTGCACCGCGCTGAAGCCGCTGTGCTTCCGCGTGCCGCGTTCTTTCCGGTCTTTACCTCGGAGACTACGGTCTAGTAACTGCGTGGTAGTAATTACAGAGAGACTGAACGCTTCTCTTGGGGGCGTGGGAGCTGCGAATAACTCACGGAACGCCTCTCACTCGTTGGGTGGTTCGCTCCCGCGCTCCGGAACCCGCTGTCTGCTGGCCGTGTTTCCGGAGGGACATTAATCGTGGCCGGACGCTGTGGCGCGGCAGTTTAATTCTCCGGCGACGGCGGTGGCGGCAATAGCTGTTTGAGCAGGACGAGATGGTCCTGACCGGGCTCATCAGGAAACTCGGTAACAGTCTGAGTTTCCCCTCGCCGGAGTCACCCTCCTGTCGTGGCCACTTGCCGAGACGGGCCGTGTCACGTTTCCGAGTCTGAACCTCCCGGCGACGCCTCCCTTTCTCGTCCTAGCTTCTCCGGGGCAGCCCCCGGGGACCCAGCCCGGACCTTGTGTGTACCCCGCAGTTCGCATCCCCAGTGCACCATCGCCCTGCCTGTGACAAAAATTGCTTTATTTCCTTCTTCACCCCACCCTCCCCTCCAGCGTAAATGACGAAGAAGTTTTAGGGTAAATTCCGGGTGGTCGTCTCTTTGGAGTCGGGAAATAGCTTCGTGCTGTATTTCTTTGACAGGTCATCAGCTGGCCGAGATCAGGGAACGCGCTCTCAAGAATATCCTCTGCAAGGTTGAGCACAACTTAATCTGCTATGCTGATCTCATTCAGGAGAGGCTACTTTTTCTCCACTTGCTGCAATGGTTCAATTTCCCTTCCGTTCCAATGAAAGAAGAGGTTCTGAGCCTGTTGAACAGATTGGTTAAGGTAGGATCATTTTGAAATAATCAGGACCATGTGTTTCTTAGTCATTTAATTGTAGCACTTGTTGAAAAGTCAATTAAAGTTTAAAACATTGGGAGAAGTTGAATTAATTCATTTGGGTATATAATGCCTATCTTTAATTTGTGATATTACATCTCACATTGTCTCTACTGTTCTCTGAGGTAATACAGAAATTCAGAATTTTGGTATGTGGTTTTGGAATCCATAGCAGGCTAATATTTATCATTTGTTTTTCCTTGTGTTATGTATGTATTACAAATTAGTTGTGTCTTTTAAGAGAGAACACGTTTAAAGATGATGTTACAGACCATGATTAATAAATAGAACAAGTGTGTTAAATTGCTTTTCCCATGTCTTTTTTTCAGATGTATGTTTCTCAGCCTATCTTGAGAATAGTTATCAAATGTCATGTGTCAGAGCAACTTTAACCTTTTAAAACTGTAAATTTCTGTGCAGTCGTGAGTGATCTGTATTACCTCGGCATCCTTCGACTGGTTGGAAGTAGGAGAGGGTAGGATTTGTTTTTTCAAAAAGGAACATCTGGTATACCCCAAATAATTTTTATGTTTTGATTGCTACAAGATTGAATCCAGAGATTTTGATATTTGTAGTTACTCTCAAGACTCTCCTCTTCTTTCAGTATCCCCCAGCAGTCCAGCATTTGGTTGATCTTGGTGCGGTTGAATTCTTATCTAAACTTCGTGCTAATGTGGAGCCAAATCTACAAGCTGAAATCGATGGCATTCTGGATGGACTTTTTATTCTTCCTTCAGACGTTCCTGCATTGTATTCTGCATCCTACCAAACCAACCAAACTGGTAACTCTTTGGAACCAATCTGATGTATTCTGTTAAAATATATTGGTTCTATTGGTTAGTTCTAAGGGAAGGATTAGCCCCCCTCCTTTTTTTTTATTTTTCTTGTGTTAACTTACATGAGCTTGACCTTTTTTCTCCCTCCTCTACTGTAATTCAGAGGAGTATATATTGCTTTTTTGGTTAAGGGGCCTAAAAAAATGCCAATTATTTTCTTTTTGTGAGACCAGTTTGACAGATTATTTCTTTAATGATAATACATTTTCATTGAGCACTCAGCACTCATTACCATGTGTCAGATGTTGTTTTGAATGTTTTGTGCTTGCATTTTTGGACTGTGTTTTTTATAGAGGGGTGCAATGTCATCTGCCCTAGCTTGTGATTTTGTTAGGGGGCCCAATTAAAATTAGCTACACATGGTTTACTGGTTAAAATCAGAGTCAAGGAGACATGGATTCCAGTCCCAGTTCTGCCATTAGTTGTGTGACCTTTGCTAAGTCAACTAACCCCTCCAGCCTTTAGTAGTCTCATCCAAAAATTGGGACAGTAAGAAAGAACATCTTATAAAATTGTCATGAGGATTAAATGAGACAGTGCCTGTGAAGAACTCAGCACACGGTCAAACATATATTAGGCACAAAATTGTTGGCTGCCATAGTTTTGTCCTTATTATTTTATGTTCAGTGTAGTATCTTGCACATGGGAGGCATTCAGATTGATTTAAAGAAAAGCTCATGAAACATATGGAATTGAGTAGTAAAAGTATGACAAAACATATTTTTGCTTGTTTACTCTGGTAGGACAGTTTTCTGTACACCAGTGCTGTTCTGATGCTGCTGTGACTGTTGGTACTGCTCTGGCAGGTGCTGTTTGTTGACTTCTTGTGTGATTGTGATTTTTAACAATGTATTTTACAATTTGTGTCTAAGCCATAACAAAGTGAACTTTAAGTTGTGAAATTTTAAACCTAGTTTCTTACAGATGAGATTAGAGGTACGGTCTACAGCTAATTTTTAAGATCTGTATTAATATTAAGAACTACTGATATGAAAACTTCAAATAGAAACTCGTGAAGTTTAGTTTCAGCCTTTTCTCATTCTCAGAACGTCTGAAGTGTGGAATATGTTGTCACGTGACAGTCATCAAAGGTGTTGAGAGAGAGTGCTTGACTCCCTTTCTTTGACAACTTTTTAGAAAAGATATTGATGGAGATTAGAGTGATCAGGAACTGTATAATTGGAGTAAGAGAGAAGGAGATGGACTTAGAAGCAGAGGTGAAGAGTCCTTGAATTAATGCTTCGTGACAGATTCTTTATGTGCTTTGTGGATGTATTCATCATAACAAACAACCGTATTAACAGTAAAAGAGAGAGGTAGAAATAAGACAACCCTCAATTTGAAATTGGCTTAACATTCACATGTTTTTTTCCTCTGTGGGAAGACAGACTATTGAGAGGAAAAAAAACGGTTATTTTTCTGGTTTTTAAAATGATTCAAAAAGAGTAAAAGTTTTAAAAAAAAGTTTCACTTGTAGCAAATAATAAATCAATATAACAGTAATATATATATATTTTTTTCAGAATTGCCACAACCAACTGAAATCTTAACGGGATATTTTCCTCCAGACAAAAGTAACTTCCAGCAGACGGATGCGGCCCCACGACCCATGGGTAAGTGTATGTCGGGAGCAGAGCTGCCGACCTGGGAAAGTGGAAATTCATGTACCTTTCTTTATTGCCGTGAAAATGTACTGTGGTCAAACTTGAGTAGTTCAGCGCTAAACCGAATGTTTCGGTTTCCTCAAATTAGTTTAGGACGTAGAGTCTAAGTGGAAAGCGTCATGTCATCCTCACTGCATTTGAGTAGCTGCGTGGGTGGGTGGCAGAGGCGCAGTGGTACTTAGGGCTCATTCAGCACAAGGTCTTTGCCAGGACCTGTGCCGTGCACTGTGCGGTCACCTCATTCTGCAGCTCACGCGGTGCGCTGTCCATCCAGTCACTCAAGCCAAAGACCCAGCGTCATCTTGGTTTCTTCACGTGTCTTTATCCCAACATCCGCTTGATTCTAGACTTCCGATTTGGCAATCTCATCCAGTTCTTTCCATGTCTGGCTGTGTCCAGTTTCTGCGCAAATGCCACCTCCTCAAAGAGACCTTCCTGAGGTCTCTAGCCAGTGATCACTATCTGTGATTAGTTTTATTTTGAACAGGTACCGTGATCTGAAGTTACTTCTTGTTTCTGTCACTGTAAGCTTAGTGATAGCTGCAAACATGTTTTATCCCATATGCAGAACGATGCCAAAAATGGATCAGGCACTCAGTATATGTTTTTTGAATAAGCGAATCCTCAGGGAGTCCCAGGGAGATTGATACTATTATATTTCCATTTTACTGGCGAGGACA